TGCCATTGTCTGCGATCGACTGAAGCCAGAGTTCGGAGTGTGTGTGTGTGCAGACAATTGTCTGAGCGAGGCCACCAATAAACATGAGACTGTGGAGAGCAGGAATAAAAATGTTTTCTTGTTAAAAACCTGAGTGACTCTGCCCCGAGGGCTGCCTCAGACTAAGTCATCAGCCATAAGTCTGTCATTCACGTCAGCGATGCAATTTTCTCAGGCTGCACATAATTTATCCCAACCACGGAGACCAGATGTGAATGGAAAATCCCGTAAAACTCCACATTACTGGAGTGGACGAGATGTATGTATGTATGTTGTTGGAATGCTGCTGTTTCCATAGTCAACAGCAGGGAAGCCATTTTGACTTAATATTCTGGCTTATGTGAGTTTGACACAACGGGACGTAAACGCAGGGCACACCATGAACACAGCCACCAGGTGTACGTCTACCTTGTATCTCTTCTTACAGCCGGGGACGGGGCAGGCGAAGGGCTTCTCCTCCCCTCCGTTCATGCACATGGAGCTGAGGATGGACTCGGAGCTGATGGCGCTCTCTGTCGTCCACGACTCGTCGCTGTCAGACTCCTCAAAGTCCACCTCCTCTTCATCACACTCACTACCTGGAAGTTCATCCAAGAAGGGCAGTCGAATAAATAATAACAATAACAAAAAACAAACAGCCCCAAAAATACTCAAGTCAAAAAGTTCTAAGACGTGTTTTCTGAAGGTTCATGAAGTTTCGTCATTATGTGCGACATGTCGCAGCTTCGTAACAGGTTCAGGTCCCGCAGCAGTCTTTCTTTCTGCCCTCATCAAATCTCTGAAAGACTTTCTGAATTTTACTAACACGTTGCTGAGACAATGACTTCATACTAAGGGTGTCCGATATCAACTTTTTGCCGTAATATCCGACATGCCGATATGGTCCAAACACTTAATTTTCTGTTCCGATATCAACCGATACCGATGTTGGTCTGGTAATATTTATTTAATTAACTGAACAAACCACTGTTTGAATATGAGATCAATTAAATGAGCTGCAATGCTGCCCGCGTTTTCATTATCGAAGGAAAAACCAATAACGAAGCTAAGAGATCAGGCTGATAATATCAGTCGACTGATATTATTGGACGTCTCTACTTCATATAGTATATGGAGTACCTGAGTCCTGAACCAACATGGGGATAGTATTTGGAGTACAACAATGGTTTCTACTGCAATACTATCCTGCAGCAGTTACTTGTTATTTTCCTACATCAAGATTTTTCCCTCATTCGTCCTTTAACTTTTTGACTTGGAAAGAATTGACTCCAGGTGCAGGAGTCAAACACAGCACAGCAGACACAGAATCAGACACAGCACTTCCCATAAGATAGAAAAAAAAAACAAAATGAAAAAAAAAAACAAAAAGAAAAAAACAAAACAAGTCCAAACAGAAACAGAAATTAAAAACATCTAAACCAGAACCCTCCCCCAGCCCAGGTGGACAGAACAGACAACATGATTCAACACCGACACTCAACAACAACAATGAACAGACACACACAGAGTGAGGGCTTTATATAGACAGGACACCAGGTGAGACCAGTCTGACTAATGAGACACAGGTGACAGTGATCAGAGGGGACGGACAGGAGAGGCCGAGACACACCACATGGACTGAAACTACACTGATAGTTTGAATCAGATGAAGGTTTTAAAAAAGATCCTCCATCACAGGTTTGTGTGAAGTTGTTTTTGTAGAAATAAAAGTAAAAATTTAAACCCAAACAGGTAAAGAAAGCCCTTGGAACAATGATTATCTGTGGTTATTTAAACAAAGCCCCGCTCATAGACACAAACAGGCATTCACACTAATATTTACACCGATGGTCGAGTCAGAGTGAATGATTCAAACAATGGTTCCCATTTTTTTTTTTTAGTATCACAAATTTCTGGCGACCCCAGAGATGTTTTTATCCAGGCGAATTTTTTTTTTTTTTTTTGCCTCCAACATAAACAACAAAGTGACAGTGATTTTAATGTAAATTTTTTTTTAGAAAGTGAATCAACTTTTGTGAAAATGTATTTTGCAGTGAACGACTCCAGGGCACTGCCAACACACACACACACACACACACACACACACACACACACAAACTGGCTCTGATTTATGCCTGGTCATGACTCAGCTCTGAATGTTGCTCAATAACTGGAGCCCTGGAGCGGACACACACACACACACACACACACTCATGGACTGTTCCCAACATGTTCCTGTAACTACTGTGTGTGTCAGCACCTGTGTGTCTGTACACACTGGTACACGTCAACCTGACAAACTAATTATACTATTTTACCACCGTCTTTGTCCGTAAATGAAGGACGTCATGTTAGAAGGGGGTCAGGGATCAGCAGCATCTTCCTACCTAACCCCTAACCCCTAACCCCTAACCCCTAACTCTAGGGTTTACTATTTGTTTTGTAGCCTTTGTTTTTGCAGCTTTCTTGTATGAAATATTTAAAGCTCCAGTAGAGAAGTTCACTCTCATGGTTAATCCAAATAAGGAACAAAGATTTTTCTTTTTTCTTTTTTTCTTTTTGAATGTAAAGGAAGCAAACATCTTAAATAAAGACCAGGATACTTCATTCAATACTTCGACACTTGTCTTTGAAACACGTCGATCCAGCGACTGGATACACAGTGACAGCTTTTTACCACAACCAGTCGATCACTGGTCAACCAGTGTTAACTGTAGTACTACATGTATATGGATGTAGTGTATCTATGTAAAAGCGAATACGTGTGTATATTTGGGTGGATGTGGTGAGTGTGTGTGTGTGTTTGAGTATGTAGGGCTTTATATATTTATATATTTTCTTTTTTCCTTGGATATCTTTGGAGTTTCTAGTTATTTTGTTGTTTGTGTACTTACTACTGTATAAACAGATACTGGTGTGTACTGGACACACACACACACACACTGCATGTCCTTCTATCACCCACCGAGCTGCGCCACCTACTGTTTATAACACTACCTTGTTCTTAACCAGTGGTGGGTAGTAACGAGTTACATTTACTCAGTTACATTTACTTGAGTATGTTTTCTATAATAAAATACTTCTAGGAGTATTTTTAAATCACTATACTTTTTACTTTTCACGTGACCATAATCAATCTCAGCAGTGGGGCGGGGGGGGGTTCAGTGGCTACTACGGTCGATATCCACCGTTGATGGAAAAAAAACGGTAGAATCAACGGTCGGCAACGCAGAGGAAGACGAAGCGGCACACAAACAGTGAGGAACAGTTACATCACGCTGTTTCTCAACGTCTGACCTGAGGAAATATGTTGAAGTAAGTTTGACCCTAAAAAAAATGTTTAAATCACTATACTATTTACTTTCCATGTGTTTTTTATTGAAGTACTTGAACTTACCTTTTATTTTAAGATATTTAATTGATTTGTTTTATTTTATTATTTTATTGATGGGACAAACTCTCCTCTCAGTAATTTTGTCCATCTTAATCTGATTGAATGCTCATTAAAAAATAAATCAGATGTTACAGTAACTGTTACAGTAACTGTAACGGTTACTCAGTACTTGAGTAGTTTTCACCAAGTACTTTTTTACTCTTACTCAAATAATTACTTGGGTGACTACTTTTTCCTTCTACTTGAGTAATATTATTCTGAAGTAAAAGTACTTTTACTTGAGTACCATTTTTGTCTCCTCTACCCACCTGTGGTACACAGTAATAATACTGGTATCTGTGTTTAAAAACACGTTTCTATGACAACCCTTGGTTCCACTGGCAGATGTTTGTTTACCTGTGGGTGTGTTGCTGCGGAAGGAGGAGGAAGGCGTGATGGGTGGCGTTACCGGAGGGGTGAGGTTCCCACTGCTGTGGCGAGGCGGTGTGGAAACACTGCTGCGGTTCAGGCCCCCGATCAGGGACAGCGACAGCTTGGGCTGCACCTTCTTCTTCAGAGCGGCGTGTTCTCGTCGTGCAGCATCTGTCATGAACCTGGAGCACAAAGACCAAAGTTTCGTGTCGTTTAATGACCGTTTTCGTGCTCTGACGTCTGCGGAGCTCCGGAATCAAAGGTTCGCCAACCGCTGCCGAGGCACACGGACGGAAAAAACTGTCATCAAATAAAAGAGAAAACCTTTCACTGGGATTTATGGAGGAGAGAAAAAGTCCCCGAGTGATGTGTATCATAAAAAATAAATGTTAACATCGCCCTTCTTAAAGTTAAAGTGGAATTAGCAAATTAGGCATTAACCACATCAAGATGTGTCTGTGTGTCTGTGTGTGTGTTTGTGTGTTTGAAGGCAGAGACAGTGGCACGGCGTCTCATCTAATGTTCCAGCTCCGTATCAAAGATGACTGAGATAAAACTCGGTGCAGTAAAAAACCCCAGCAGCACACAGACCACACAGGACAGACATGAGACGCTGCAGCAGAAAACCACCTGTAGGCAGTGCTGTTTCCTCACCTGTTGATGTAACTGAGGGCGATGTATGTCGGCTGCTGCTGCTCCTGCTTCTCCAGAAGCCGGGGGTCGGTGTCTGTTAGGGTGGAAACACACACAAGTGTTTGAAGAAATTCATTTGAAAACATAAATATATATACTCTAAACTAATAATATACTAATACAATATATAGAATATGCTAATATATACTGTCAACTACTAATATATTAATACTATATATATAATCTATACTAATATATACTGTCAACTATTAATATATTACTACAATATATATAATATACTAATATATACTGTTAACTACGAATATATTACTACAATATATATATAAAATATACTAATATATACTGTAAATTGTGGGAATAGTGCAATGCGAAGGTATAAATATATGTGATTGTTACAGACAAAACAAATTACAATTAAATATATCCATGTATAAAACTATGTCGATGGAGTAAAGTGTTCTATTTGTTAACGTAGCTAAACATTAGCTAGAACAAAACTAAAATAAGATAAAAACTCAGAGACAGCTTAAGTTTAAGGTTTGAAATGTATTATAATTACAGTGTTATATTATATTTGGTATCTCTTGGTAAAAGCAACAAACAAAATGATGATTGATTTTTAAAGGATAAAAGCGAGTGTTGTTGCTGTCATACGGGGGAACTAATTTTATATCCTAATAGAAATGTAGTTTTCTAACCTTCTAGCCTTCTTGTATCACACCACTACGCAGTGGTAGCACCTCAGCAACTCTGTTAAACGTGAAGAAAACACAACAGTAAACTCTACTTTCCATTAGCCGTTTTTGCAGCGGCTGCCCTGCAGACGCCACACTCCTCCAACACGACCGCACTTGACGCACACTGTGTTCTCCCACGCTGGGCTCCAGACATTCATCTCGCTCAGCGCGCTGCTGAATGTACAACAATAGCCACATCTCCACACCCCGAGGAGAAGTGGGCCCGACTTCAAACGCTCTCCCCACTGCTGTCCATGTGTGACAAGAGCGAGGGCCTCGTAAAAACAACAGCGTCTACCACTTCCCAGCTGAGCCTCCCTGTCTGCATCTGCCCGAGCTGTGAAGGGCGGCCACCCCCCCCCTGTATAGCCGACCCCCACCTGTCTGCCCCTCACGACCTCTTCCCCGC